AGCACAGAAAATGTGTTTGGGTGAATAAGCCATGTTGTGTAACGCTCTGAGTGCTCAGGTAGAGTAGAAAGGTGCTAAAAAAAGCAGTGCATTTACATCGTTTGTATCGGTTGTGGGCAAAAGACCTGCAACTGACAAATAAAGGCTATCTCATCATCATCATCATCATCATCAGACCCTGATATATCACCTTACCTTCAGCAACATGAGGTCATTGTCGTGCTTTGCACAACAGTAGCCAGGATGAGGAAAACTTTTCTCGACGACTCGGAGTTGCTTGGAATGTTCGTTTTTCGTTCTGGAGTGGGCTCCCAGCATCACCCAGTAACTCCTGCAAAAGAAAAAAACACAATCTGGTGATGAAGGTTTACATATTTAAAAGGTTAACAGGTCAGCGGCTTCTAAAACAGTCATCATAGTTCTTTATTATTGTGTATTACTACATATGGCTGGGTTATAGCTGTTACTGAGCTTTGGGTGAATCTGCGTTATTTTCTCTTCCAGCTGAATGAAGAAATTTAAATGTACATAAAATGTTTTAGATGAAGAAATGTATCAAATGTTTGATGTGTATGTAGCTGTGGCTTCTGTGTTATTTTAAGTGAGTGCAACACTTCTTTCCCCCACAACAAACATGGAAGGAAAAAAATGAAGATGAACTTTTGCGAGACCTCCTTTGTGGCCCATCCTATCCAGAATTCATAGCGCAGCCCAGCCAATTCCAGTTTCCAACAATGGTGGCAGCTGCTTAGTTTTAATATTATTCTTTCTGGGTCACAAAATAAATTTTAAGATATCAGGCAAAAATGTAGCTGTGTAAACTTCAAATATCTGATTGGTGTTTAAGACATCACATATTTGTAAAAAGTGCTCCGATGTTTTCGTAGTCGTCTGTTACCCACCCGCTGCGCTCGATAGCTGACTGGGAGGTCGAGGCCACAAGAGACGGCGAGAATACCGCACTCCCGCACACTGTGCCTCGACCTCCCTGTCAGCTTCCTTCTGGCGGCCTCCGAAAGATGTGGCCTAAGATTTGAGAGATCCCGAGATCTCACAAAAGTAACTCAGGATCTCGCAAAATTTTATTTTCATTTATTTTCCTCCCATGTCCCTCACAGGCTCCGTACTTTCCTTGTTATTCCATCACAAATAACATTTTCTAGAACACCTCTGTAAAACAAATAAATCTATGAACAAGAATTCAACTTTAAATATTCTTTATATTCATTCTCTCCATTAAAATTTATGAGCTTTGCATGCATAATTATAGCAGTGTGTATTATTTTGACTGTGGAAGAGAGCAGCTGAGCTTCTCTCCAATGACTGGATGAATGACCATTTCTCTAAAGAAGAGGCCAGTCATGGCTTACAGAAGCACATTCCTGCTGCTCTGGCCCTGATCTCATTCTTTCAGTAACTACCCAGAGCTCGTGACCACAGGTGAGGGCAGTGACCTCTGGGTAGTTACTGAAGGAATAATAGTCATTGAAAATAAATACTGCATTATTTTTAAAATAAGGTCTCAGATTCTTACCCAGTGCAGTGAGCAGCTGTCAGCACCCACTGTGGATGGATTAATGTCCCTCCACACCAAGAATTAGTCACACTTCTCACATAAGCCATGTAAGGCAGTGAGTGTGGCTCGACTTCTTTCCCATTAATAATCTCAGAACCACGACCTGAAACAGAAACAAAATATCAGGACACATAAATCAGCAGATGAGTGAAATGGACTGGTTCTTATATAGCGCTTTCTACTCTGTCTGATCACTCAAAGCACTTCATACAACTAATTCATTCACTTAAGTATCTAACATTGATACTACGGAGAGCAACATGGGGTTAGAATCTTGCTCAAAGCTATTTGGCATGCAGACTGGGATCGAACCGCCAACCTTCAGTAACTGACCTGCTCTGCCACCTGAGCTATAGCCACATTGAAGATATCAGCAGTGTGACGTTGCATTATGCTCGTTTACATGAAGATTAAAAATGTCAATAAGTAAATTAAATTACAGTGGAAATTACAGAGCACCCAGAGAGCTGCCCAGCCAGGCAAGATAAACTTTACTTGTCAGGATGAGACTTCTACCCCGTCTCTGTCAGTCCTGCATCCCTAAATGTCTCCAGTTGTCCGGAGTTCTCTCTGTCTGTCTCCTTGGTGCATTTAAACCCCTGTTCCTCCCTGTCCTCGTCGTCTGTTGTCTTCGTCTCCGTTATCAGTCATCATAATTTTACCCTCTCTGTGCAAGTCTGCAAATTTCTTTATAAATCATAAGATTCTTAAATCCATCAAGTCTCTCTGTGCCTGGGTCCTCGTCACAAAACATGACATCACTGATTTGTGCATTTTAACACAATTTAATCCCACATTTGTGAAAGAAAAGAAAAACACGTTTTTAAAGTCTGTAACAAAACCATCAAATCTAGGGAGCGAGACTGCATGTCTGCTCCCTGATCAACACTGAGGTCTGAAATGTAGTCATGTGACATCACATCAGCGCCGCAGGCCCAAACGAGGCTTTACCTAAAACACTGTTTACAATAGTTATACTTTAAGCCCTCAGAATATTTTTCCAACAGTGAAACTTAATCCGCTCAAGGATTAATGAGATTTTACTCGTAGTGTTTCAAACGATCCTTCATGTAAGCCCACACAGGACGCAGAGACGAGTTGGACGTGTAGTTGAGTCCAAATGAGCATCTTTCTCGGCTCACAGGTTCAGCGTCCGTGAATGTTTCTTTGCATCAACCCAACGTTGGTGTGATTGTTTGTTTGTACCCACTCGGGTTTGTCTGCTCTCTGCACACTGACCAGATACTGAACGATGCATCTGCAGACCTCCGTGGTCTGGTGCTGCTTTCATCGCAGCCTTTGATTGGCCCTCACTGTCACGAGTGGGCGAGCATGTGTGAAAAGAAGACTGATATTCCAAGGAACGAGACGAGTTACGCAGTGATATCAGTTCAAGAGAACGTGAAACAAAAGCTTCCAAGTGCACGTTTTCATTAGTTCAGAGTCGTTTATGTGCCGAGAGAAGAAGGCTGCGTGGCGTTCGTCTAAGTGCAGTCGTCAGAGTCGTTCACAGCAGGAGGAAAACCTGAGTGAGAGTTTAAGCTTGGAACGTTGCAGAAGACGAGAGACAGAAACGGGAGAAGTTGTCTTCCTCCACCGTTTACCACCCCTCGGTTTCCACGCTCCACCGCCTGCACGTCTCTCCTAATTGACCGCAAAGGGTTGTAGCTCGTCCCACGTGCGCTCCAACACACACTCAGCTTCACGCACAGCGCCGCTCCCTGCCATTCACCTGCTACCACAGCAGGCAGGAATCCAATCATCCCGCCCTGACTGCAGAGATTAATTGAAAATAATTGAGGCTAATCCAAGTGAGTCCGATTTCAATGTGAGTCTAAGTGCAGCAATAACAGACTAAAGTCAGCCTAGAGTCCTGATCAACTCTTCTCACAGCTGACTCGTCTTGTTTACGTTTTTCCCACCTCGTCTGTCTTTAATGATAATCTCGAGGCCGCAGGAACATTAGATGCTCCTCTGACTCACGTACTACTTATTACTCCTGCTAATGTTGGCAGGCTGAAGCTCAGGGTGTGCGTGCACTCAATGACTGAATGTAAATACATACAGCGAAGCAGCAGATACACAAACAAGAGTCGGGATGTTTTCCTCTGATCAGGATTTATGACCAGCATCTACATGACTCCCAGTTTGGCCCTTTGACCTGGTTATTGAGGCTTGGTTTCCAGTTACCACCAATCTTCTGATAAGCTGGAACATATGGACTGAAACGTGGTTATTTTACCTCCTCACATTGCAGGATCAGAGGGGGCTGACTGCTCGGCCTCTGCTGCTGCAGCCTAAAGCTTCCTCAACAGATCGACTAACAGCTCGTCCAACCTGCCCGACGCCGAGCACCGAGCACGGGGATAAAAGCAGCGCACACGGTCCTGAAATGCTTTTAAAAGAGTCCTTTTAAATCACTCTAAAGATTTGTTTTATTACACAATAAACTAATATAACAACAAATTTTAAAATTGCATTAATTCTATTAATATTTCTATATTTTATTTACTCATTTAATGATCCAGGGATACGTCAATAATAAAAGACGCCTGATCAGAAAAAACCCTGAAATCTGGGAGGATTAATGGCTGTATCCCACAGCAGCCTCCTCTCAGTGCTCTGTGACACGTACTAATATCACGATCAGAGAAACGTGCAGTTGGACAGATGATGCTAAATGTGGGCAACGAAGAAACGCTGAAAGGATTTCTCACTCAGACTGAGGCTGAACTCTGTCAGCATGAGATCGGCTGCAAATCACTTCTTACACAGAGCCTCTGAATATTCAGCGAGGACTAAGAGAACACGCTCGTCGTGTTGTTATCCTGATAGCTCGTCTGGTTGCAGTTTGGACAAACTGCAAACAGAGCAGCTCAGTGCGGGTTGAAAAACTTTTCCATCTGGCTTCACTGAGCGCGTGCATCTTTATGACGGCAGAATCAACGACGTGGAGGATGCTGAGTCCTCTGACTTCGGTGTGGCGGTCAGATACATAGATGTGACAGCGAGATGCATCCAGGCAGCGACCACAGTTCAGAGAGACGACACAGACACGCAGCTTCCTGCGAGGCTTCCAAAATGCAAATGATGAGATGCACAGCAATAAAAACACAAAGTGCAGACGGTACAACAGCATCAGTGCTGCCTCTCTCTGCCTTCATGCAGCGGCTGTCTGTGATGGAGCTTTGACGGGCGGTGCTCTCGTCTTTGTTCACACCCACAGTCACTGATGGATTTAATGCAGAGCAGGCGTCAGCAGACGAGCGGCCCTGTGCTCATTTTCAAAAGTCCTCCACTTTAAGGTTTTTATAAACCTATTGTGTTGGACAGTCACACCAAAGTATGCAACGACCACACTGGAGCTAATGTAGTGCTGCAGCACAGTAGTCCTGATAGGACCGCACTGCCGCTCCCTGGGATCCAGGGGAGGACGGGGGGGAGGGTGGCTGAGTGACAGGCTTCATCAAGGCCACTCCTGCTTCCCAGACTGCCCCTCCACCCAACAGAATAACCAAGGGTGGTGGTGGGGGTAAATGTAGGTCAGTAGCTGGTTGGGGCTGATTCCTGCTGCTGACTGTCTGGAGCAGATTTACTGTCGTGTCCTCCATAAACAATAAATGAAGAAAATATTTGTTCAGGGACTCCGGGACACAGGATCCTGGGTGGATTCTTCAAATAATCCTGTTTTGTGTTCACAGCGATTCGTCTTTGGGGAGTTTTTCCTGATGAAGCCCAAACGCAGCCTCAGCTTAAAGCTTCTACCTTCATTTGCATTGCAGAATCTTTTTAGAGCTACAGCCTCCCCTCCTCCTCTACACACACACACACACACGCACACGCACACGCGCACACACACACACACACCACACACACACACACACACACACACACACACACACACACAATAGGAGGGCTAACTGGTAGAGAGCCACACAGCGGTCAGCAGAGCCCTGCAAAAATATGCAAAGTGTAAAACTGCCACGTGGACCCGATGAAAGCACACAGCAAATGGATTCCACAGTGGGAGTGGGCTCGTGTCATTTTTCTCTCTCAATCAGGAAAGAAAGGCTGAGTCAGCGTATCTCTGAACACGTGACAGCCCTGAATCTCCCACTGCAAAAGAAATAAATGAATCCAAAAAATAAGGAAAGCAGAACTGACTCACATGACCGGAGTGCAAGCTGCGCCCGTTTCTTCACGCAGGCCTGCTGCATGCAGCATGACCGCATGCTCTGCTCAGACCTACAGAGGTTTACTGTTATTCTAGAGCAGTACTGGCATCACTCAGAGATCAGATATCAGCCGGCCAGCACTGACGGTGATTTCCCATCTGTCTCTGGAGTCATGCATCATCTCCAGCTTTCTCCCTGCGTAGGTCAGAGCTGCATTTCCTTCAGCTGCCTCTCCAGCGGGTCTCACCCTGCAGTCGGAGCCTTCTAGTTTGGAGATTTCTAACAAGCACCTGCAGCAGGTGGATAACTGGTTAAAGTCCTGCTGCACTGGGCTCACTGAGGACCAGCCCAAGGAGGTGCAGCTGAAGTCCATCGACGAGGCGAGGAACTCCCTGCATGGACAGCTGATTGTATTATGTGTCATAAAGCACCTGCTAACTGAGGCCTCTGCAGAGGAGCACCACACAAACACCGTTGCTTAATCATTTAATTAAGAAAACACACGCGCCGGCTGTCACGCACGACCCATAATGCACTGCAGAGGCACTGATAATGGAAGCAATTACAGCTTTTTCTATTTCTGCTGATCTAACTGGAGGAACTAAAAGGTTTGATGGGGTAAAAAAAGCCCTGCAGCGACAGAAGCTCTGAGCCTGAATGCTTGTGTCTGTGCAGTCTAACACCACACACACACACACACACACACACACACACACACACACACACACACACACACACACACACACACACACACACACACCACCATTAAAGCACTGCAGCGGTGCTTCACCTGACACTTGAGCATCACACTGAGGAGGCGTCAAACAACAGACCCTTTGAGATGCTGGCAAACTACGACGTCTTCAACAATCTGAGGCGTGAAGTGAGACTTTTCTGTGAAGCAGTTACAGAGACCAGCTGAGCACAGATGTGGTCAACATCTGTCAGGAGGCCTTTAAACTAAACTCCATGCTGCACTTTTGTTTTTGGGGAAAACTCAAAGGGATGAGTTTGATGCACTTGTGCAGACACATCACACTTTTTAAAGCGCAGCTCTGGAAGCAACAACTTGTTGCTTTGCCCGGATCTTCAACGGCTGACCTGCAGTTTCACAATCGTTTCTCTGACTGACACTTTATTAGGCGCGTCTAATATTTCCAGTTTTCCAGGTTTTGTTCTGGAAGGCTCCAAAAACTGGGCGAGCAATGGCCCACCGATCACAGAGGTGATACAAATCAAGATGAGCAGCGATTCTGAGCAGAGCTTCAGCAATAATGCAACATTCATAGACAGCATTATATAAGATCGCACTGCTAACATGTATGCTTTGGCTTCGTTCCTGCGTGCTCGCTGCGCGTAGATGCTCATGCATGATGCTCGGCTTCACCGGGCATCAGGTCCTCCATGCATAAGCAGGCAGTGTCGGTGTCAGTGACAGGATAGACTCACCGCTTGGGCGAATTCCCATTTTCCCATTTTGCCAAACTGAATGGGCCTTAATCCAAGTGCAGCCAGCAGCAGGCCTGGAGTACAGTCGGATCAAAAGCCCTCAGTCTGCAGGCATGTTGGGCTTTACAGTGAAAGACTCAGCAGCTTTCATCATTAACAGACTCTGGTTTATGCTAAAGTTCATCCAATACTAACACAAATATATAACGACTGCACTGTCACTGTAGTTTCTGCATTTTCACCCAGAACCTCTGATTTCTTCTTCCTGTGCAGCTCGTCTGTTTGTACAGTACAAGTGCTCCAATTCAGACCCAGCACGCTTAGCTGCACAGAAATGTCTCCGTTTGCCTCGTTTCAACACACGTGGGCTGCTAATGCAGAGGTGTCAGGCCCAGTTTGGGAGTGATCAGTGCGCCCGAGTCTTACATAAGACCACCTGTGTGCAGCATCTATGGGAAAGATCTGCTCATTAAAACGTGACGCGGCGGCAAGCAGACGCCTGAGGACGCTGCAGGACGTCACCGGACTCAGATACGTCAGATTCTGAGTGACTGATGAGAGAAGTAACACAAGCCTCACGCATAAGAGACGCAGCAGAAACAAGAACAAGTCTAGCTCCAGTTGCACACATGGTGCTTGCCTCTTTGTGCCCATGCAAAATAAGTTTCCCACAGACACACTCATTTCTGAGTCCTTGCTGCTGGAGCGCTCTCCAGCAAACAGCATGCATAAATGACAGGACTGACGACACGAGCAACTATTTTCTATCCCAACACTGCAGATGTTGGAATATTTAGGATGATTTAATAATGATGGCGGATGACGTGATATCAGCTCCCTGTTCTCCCCATCCTTCCTCAACAGAGAGCGGATCCTGGCGTTGGAGCAACAGCCAATCGAGACTATCACGCTGGCGTAGCCGTCTACTTTACCTCAGCCAGAAACTCAATCCCATCACACACAGCTCCCCGATCGTCTCTGTTGCTACAGCAGCTGCAGCCGCGCAGGCTTTCCTCAGAGAGGAAGGTGAACACGACACACAATCAGCAACGCCACAAAGGCCGAGGAGCAGAAAACAGCTGGCTGATTATTACCAACGTTTCATAACCACAAACTCAGAGACCCACTTCCACAGCTGTGACTCTCACATCTGGGAGCTGGAACGCATCATTTCTGCCTTTATTATTACGTAATGACATTTTTTACCGAATCAGCAATAAAGTCACAGTGAAAACAGGAAAATCTGCTTTCACTTAAACTAACTTATGATTAAAAAACAACATTTGTGAAGCTGTTCGATTAACCAAAACCTGGATTTGGTTCAAATGAAGAACATCATCCAGATCAACTGTGCTGCTGCTGCACGTCCTCGCTCTTCTCCAACAGCCCAAACAAACTCACTCCCTGACTGGTTTTGTCAGCTCAGCTCGAGCAAAGATGACGGCACGAGAGATTTTCGATGAGGAAGGTAAAGCCAGGTCAGCAGTTTGCTCCAGTCAACAAACACGTTATGTTTGGAATCATCTGCCACATTCGAGCCGCCCTGCAAACCAAACTCAGGTCCAGCTCTGTCACGGTGCTTCATACACAGTCAGCTTCTTCACCCTGATCATCAGCATCCACCTCTGACCAATCACACACGGAGTGACAGCCAGGATGGACACCTTCTCCCTGCAAAGATCTACATCAGCCTCCTGCAAGAAAGCCCAGGAAGACACAGCAACTCTTCATCACTGATGTCACTGCATTATAGACTGCATTAATCACAGCTTATCACACTCACTCACTCACAGTTGGGGGCTTCAGACACGCGTGGACCACAGCTCTGCACATGTGGGCTAAATAAACTTTGAAACATTTATTATCTTAATGAAAAACAGGTCTTTTCCCAGCACCCCCGCCCCGGGCACAGAAACGGGAAGTTGATGCGCATTAGAAATCAGCTCGGTGTGGACTCACCTCCCCAGCTCGTCCCCGATGTCATAAAATTCCTCCACATTTTCCGGGTTGAAAACAGTCATGTTGTCCAGGCACTTCTTCCCCCGACCACAGGCGCGTCACACCGGCTCTTCACAGCCACACCATCCCTACCAGCAGCCTCCGGTCTGGGCAGGGTAACGGCCACCGATCCTCCTCATGCTCGGGCTTCCACACGGAGATCAACAGGAGGGCAGAAGAAACGAGAGCATTAGATTATGAAACCGTGCAGCTGCGGGGGAAGGTGGGCGTGCAGTCAACAGAAGGGGCCCAAAGTGACGGAGCGGTGAACCTGCAGCCCCGGCGACGTCACGACCCCCGGAGCTGACCTGGCCGCTCTGCCCCCGGACTCCCGGCTCAGTTATCTGGCTGCCAGTTTTAAGATAACAATAATAACGCGTGCGTGTGTGTGTCGCCACAGGCCGGAGAGGAATGCAAATAACCCCCGTGTGGACGCTTGGTGTAGCCATGGGAAACACGCTAACCTCCTCCTCCTGCTGCTTTCAGCCCGGTGAGGAAAATGACTGCTGAGCAAAGTCAGAATAACGAGCCGCACAGGTGTCTGACCCGGTTTAACCGTGCGTGCCAAAGTGCCCCCCCCCCCCAAAAAAACAACTACTTTAACCACCAGCCCCTCAGCTCCCCCCGCAGTAACAGCACGGCTCGCCCCGGTAACGTTTTATTCCTCCGGAGTCTGAGACATGAACCTTAGCTGGAAAGATTTCTCACCGGGAAACGGGGGGTTTCCAGATTACTCCGTGGAGGTCTTACCGTGTGCCGGTGGGGGTCCCGCTGCCTGACGAAGCCGAGATTTCATGCGGTTAGTGGGAGGCTGTGATCCAGGTTCGGCTCACGGAAGACAAAATGCTGCTTTGAACGGGAGAAATCAACGTTAACAATGTGAGGCAGGCTGGTCCTGGTGCTGCGTTCACGGGCTGGGGTTAAATAGGAGATCGGAGACTTGGAGCGACCGGAGGACACGCTGTGTGTATTTCACGTGTTACCGTTAAACGAACAACGATGACGTCAACAGATCAAAGGATAAATCTAAACAGTGATTTTACTAAACGTCACTATAATCGGCGGGTGTTTGTCATCCGAATTTTTAGTAAAACGCAGCTGAGATGTCCGAGTTTCTACGTGTCGTGAAGGCAGCGTGGGTGTGTGAGCTCCTTCAGTCGCAGGAGGGCAGCAAACCTTCACTTTGAATCACAGAAGCTGAGAATTTGTGCAAAAATACGTTTTTATGTAATTCAGACTTTTTATGTTAATCTGTTTATTTTATTCCCTGTTTTTTTTTTCATTTTTAGAGTAAAAGTAGCAAAATCCAGACTTTTTCTCATTATTGCAATGAATTAACATCTGTCAGCAGTTATTTATTTATCAGAGATAAAATAAATATTTAATAACAATTGAGGATTACAAAGCTGTTATTAGACATCTACAAAAATAAAATGTTTACTTATTTTATTGTTTTTCCTCACTTCAAGTCTTTTTACAATTAAAGAGCGAATAGTTATGCCTGCATGTGTCTGTAATGCAGCACTGAAAAGGAATCAGTAGTTAAAGCATGCAAACTGTATCAGGCAGAACTACATTTCTCTAAAAAGCACATGACACATGTGTCAGCTGGTTCAACATCATGATATTTGTTGTTATTATGGTAAAATAATATTTTTATAGAGTGGAAACCAAAACATCAGGGAGCATGGACGGCACAAGTTTGTTTCCAGCCCCATCGAAAGATTTTAAAAGAGGTCTGTACCTCCAGTCAAGCCGTGGCCTGATGCTGATGCTGATGAGCTCCTTTTCACTGCGTTCTGATGAATCATCATCACACGAGACATAGAAAACAGTTTTCTGCTGGAAGAATAAAGACTGAGGATTGATAAAGTCTCTGGTGAGTGGATCAAAGTGTCCTCTGGGTGCAGCTGAGGACGTTAACAGAGACGTGACTGCTGACAGAGAAACTCAAATCTTACAAGGTTTGAATGTTTCTAACACTGTCTGATGACTTCAATGTTTTATTAAATTTGAATGATTTTCTATATGGTGTCAGACATCTGGACAGACGATACACTGCACATACTGCTCCTTGTGCTTTCTAAATAGCTTCTGGGGTTTGTGAATGCAGACTGAAGAAAGAACTGTTGGTTTAACTGCAGCTGCATTTGAAACCAACAATGTATTTATGTTTATTTAAGAGAGAGAAGAATAAATATGACCAGTATCTAAAGTAAAATACAATATGAGATTAAAAAGATGATATTTATCTGTCAGTCTGTGAAGAAAGTTCTAAACACTGTAGCATGAACCTGATTTTGGTGTTTTTCAGTAAAAAACGTCTCTTAAAGATGTGATGTATAAGAATAAATGAATAACTCACTAATTGCTCCTGCACACAGGGTAAAAAGGCAGTTTACAGTCTGGATGATCAACAAGGGAACAAACTTTATACATTAAAGTCTCTGTTGACCTTTCCCTCTCTGGGCGTCTTCATGCCTGATCCATAGTTTACATGTTCAACCAAAGCAGATGTTTACAGCTGATCACAGCTGCAGGTCTTTTCTCAGCAGCTGATCTTCATATATAGATTTAAAAAGCTAATATTTAAAAATATTATTTATTTATTTTTAGTCAAACATCTCAACCAAATAAACTGGGAGATGATTAAAGCAGCAGAGGAACGTTTGGGCTGAAAAGAGGAAAATTAAACGACTCCTGTTGTCACAGTTTGAAGCCAGAGGGACAGATGAAGAGTTTTGAAGAAGATGATGTCGTCGGTGCACCGAATGGTTGGATTGGATTATCAGCCAGTATTAAACAGATTACCACCCTCAGAGGAAACAAAGTCTGCTAACTTCGTTTATCTTTTGGCTTTTCTTTTGTTTAACCAGCAGCTTTTCCACCTCTGACATTTCCATCAGCTCCTATTACCACCAGAATAACAGTGATGTGACAGCTTAAGCCCCAAAATATTCACTTCATATTCTGGTCATTTATAGTAAGAGCAGGAGAGGGTGCAGAGCCGATCCTGGTGTTCTTTCATTCTTCTGAAAGATTGTGTGTCATTTTAAAATATGATGCTGGAAACAAACTGCAGCAGGAACTTAACCCAAAGCTTTGTCAGAGGTTTCATACAAGTTAGGACACAAGCGTAACAATAAAACAAAATTCAATGATTTGCGAAACTCAGATTTAATTGATCATAGAAGATAGAAAATACACCAAGTGTTTAAACACTGGAATAAGTCTCTCTGTCCAAAGTATTTAAGTGAGGAGCAAAAACTGCTTCATTTTCACTCACTTTAAACACGTAGTGTGCGCCATCTGGTGGCCACAATGGTAAACTACACCCAATAAGAAATAAAACCAAGTACACAGATTAAAGTTCAATGTTAGCAATAAAAACTGAAGCAAATATCTGAAAATTGTTGTTTAAAATCAAGACAAAAGTATGACTGCAGTTTATCATCACCTTACTGCACGTGAATGAGTTTGTTATCTTCAGTGTAAGAGCATCAGACCAACACTCAGCAACAGTAGGACTGGCACAGGCAGACCTGGCAAACTGCACATAGAAACACCTGAGCCAATAAGGAGGCTTGTATCCAGGACCACTGCACCAACATGAACTCCAGGACATGAAGACACTGCTGTGGAGCAGGAAGCACTCAGAGGGTGTTGTGGTGTTTGTCCAGGGAGCTGAGCGCCACATGCACGCGCATGTCTGAGTTATAATTTGCTTCTGAGGTTGTTTCACCACAGTGGCAAGTAAACATTATTCAATGATAACTGAGCAAAGTGATCAAATACACTGAATTAATAACAAAGTCATCTGTCTGACCATCTTGTTTCATTCTTTCCTTTGGGACAGTTGCTGCTCTTTCACTTTCAATTTAGTTTTATTTACACAGCAACAAATCACAACAACAGCTGCTTACGGTGCTTTATATCGTAAGGTGGACCCTACAATAATATATACAGAGAAATGACCCCCTATGAGCAGCACTTTGGTGACAGTGGGAAGGAAAAACTCCCTTTTAACAGGAAGAAACCTCCAGCAGAAGCAGGCTCAGGGAGGGGCGGGGCCATCTGCTGTGATTGGTTGGGGTGAGAGAAGGAAGACAGGATAAAGACATGCTGTGGAAGAGAGACAGAGGTTAATAACAGATATGATTCATGCAGAGAGGTCTGTTAAACATAGTGAGTGAGAAAGGTGACTGGAAAGGAAAAACTCAAAGCATCATGGGAATCCCCGGCAGCCTACGTCTATTGCAGCATAACTAAGGGAGGATTCAGGGTCACCTGGTCCAGCCCTAACTATATGCTTTAGCAAAAAGGAAAGTTTGAAGCCTAAACTTAAAAGTAGAGATAGTGTCTGTCTCCTGAATCCAAACTGGAAGCTGGTTCCACAGAAGAGGGGCCTGAAAACTGAAGGCTCTGCCTCCCATTCTACTTTTAAATACTCTAGGAACAACAAGTAGGCCTGCAGAGCGAGAGCGAAGTGCTCTAATAGGGTGATATGGTACTACAAGGTCATTAAGATAAGATGGGGCCTGATTATTTAAGACCTTGTATGTGAGGAGCAGGATTTTGAATTCAATTCTGGATTTAACAGGAAGCCAAAACAGGAGAAATCTGCTCTCTCTTTCTAGTCCCTGTCAGGACTCTTGCTGCAGCATTTTGGATTAGCTGAAGGCTTTTCAGGGAGTTTTTAGGACTTCCTGATAATAATGAATTACAGTCGTCCAGCCTGGAAGTAATAAATGCATGAACTAGTTTTTCAGCGTCACTCTGAGACAGGATATTTCTAATTTTAGAGATGTTGCACAAATGGAAGAAAGCAGTCTTACATATTTGTTTAATATGTGCGTTGACTCCAAGGTTCCTCACAGCGTTACTGGAGGCCAAGGTAATGCCATCCAGAGTAAGAATCTGCTTAGATACCATATTTCTAAGATTTTCAGGGCCGAGTACAATAACCTCAGTTTGATCTGAATTAAGAAGCAGAAAGTTAGCGGCCATCCAGGTCTTTAGGTCTTTAAGACATTCCTGCAGTTTAACTCATTGGTGTGTGTTATCTGACTTCATGGACAGATTACATCTGTGTGATGATTATTGGTAATGTTTTTTCTAATGGTTAAAATGTTATTTGTGAAGAAGTTCATGAAGTCATTACTAGTTAACGTTAAAGGGATGGTTGGCTCAACAGAGCTCTGACGGTCAGCCTGGCCACAGTGAGAAACCTACTTTGATGCCATTTCTCTCTCTCAGTGATTCTCTGGTAAATTGTGAATTCTGCTGTTTGTCAGAGTTAAAATCTGACAGCTCACAATGCAAGAATGAACCAGCAGACGTAGTTGCAGGCTGTTTATCGAAGAGAAACCTTGGTCTTATTCAGCTGTAAAATTTCCTCAGTCTCAGTTTTCTTGCAGGTTAAACATTGATCAGGTGTTCAGGTGTCTCAGTGATGTCAGCAGTGAGACTCCCGCCCACTCTGCTGAGAAGACTTTGTTACAGGTGAGTTTTCACTTTGAAGCGATGTCGCATGAAACATGTGGAATATCAATGACGACTGTTTTTAGCTAAAAGACCTGAAAAGTCACTTTATGAATTCTGCTCCCAGCACAGTGATGTCACAGACACACAGCTCAGGTAAGATCTGCAGGATGACCTGATCAATAATAAGAACTAAAATCAGTCCATGCACAGATTGCAGGATCTCTGCGATTCTATTTGTTACGTTTGATCTCAAAGACAAAAATCCAGTGAAATGATTTTTTAAATTTTATGTCAAAAAGCTCGTCTGTTTTAAATTTGTTCAGATTTTAATAAAGTTACGCTTTTAATCCAGCCGGGCAGTGCGTTGTTGTTCAAGAGTGGAGAGTCTAAAGTCCAGGGACGATGAACTTAATTGCAGCTACAATGTTAGGAGCAATAAAAAATTCATTAATAAAAGTATAATATTTAACTGTAAGAATATTAACTGTGTAAATGTAGATCTGTGTGTATTAGTGCAGCTTCTATTCATGTTAATAACCAGGAGCCGTCAAAATAACATTTGGTTTTCAGAAAGTTCAGACAGTCATGTCCCATCTGGTGTGTTTTTTTTTTAAATCACAGTTATGGATGCTTTCCTTCTTTTCATCAGTTTGTGGACATCAGAGTAATAAATACGATACGTGGAATACAGCTGAGTAACAGTAATGTAATACTCACTGTGACCTGTGTGACCTCCTGTTAGTCTGTAGGAAAAAAGCAAAAAAAGCCAACTTGAATGAGGTCGTGCGCTTATTCCATCATAACCTGATGTATTTTTCTTTTTATGTATTTAAGTATTTTTATTTTTGTGACCGTAGCTGTTATTTTCTCTTCTGCATCAAAGTCTGAAACTTTTGTATTAATCTTTAAAAAGGTTCACAAGTCTTAGTCTCAGATTATCTAGGAACATAAAACTGATAGCAGAGAATAATCAGAAAGGGCCTTTTTTAAATCATTAACTCACATTCATATTAATAAAGCTGACCTTTGACCTGCAGTTAGATATAAAGTAAATGTATCACGTCCTGTGAGTCGATGAGTAACAGCATGCAAAAAGAAGAAAATGATAACGTTTGAAACAAGTGAACATTGACCACAGAGTAGATAACATCCACTGTGTACAGATAAACACAGACTTCTTGTTACCTTGTTTAATTTGAACAGAGGCAAACTCATCAAGTAAAGCCTCTAAGCTTGGTGGGAGCAAATATTAGAGTAACCTGACCTCTCAGAGTTCTCGTATATGCAAATCTGGAGGTTTATTTATGACCTCAGCAGTGATGGTCAGGGCTACTCGACATTGCTGTTGGATGTGCATGCAGATGCAGTTAAGCATGTATTTGATGACACAGCGACCAGGTGTTTTATCAGGACAGGTGAACACAAATGTGTCTGGACACACTGCAAAACCACTCAGAGCTCAGAAGCTTACAAAGGGCCCAATATGTGACTGTGGAGACAGCAGAGCAATTTTCAAACTTTATTTCCAAGTTTAATCAAAGGAATAAACTTGGTGAGGGATTCAGGGCTTGATGTTTGAAGATAACTCGTAGTGTGGAGATCTAAAGCTGTAACTGTGGACAGAGGAGTGGGTGATTATTGTGGGTATGAAACTTCTCCAGGTGTGAATGAATTTGAAACAGAAATATGACTCATGTTGCAGGCAGAGTTGGTGACACTTTGAAGAGCAGCTGAAGAGAGCGATGCTGGGCTGACCCGAGTTAAAAGAGATCCAGTGCAAAGCGGTGGCAAGAGGGCAGGCAGGTGCCATACTGAAATCCTTCCCAGGAGTCAGAGCGTGAAACAGGTGCTGTGACCAGAGAGCTGTAGCACAAGAGAAACAAGGTGGGTACATAGACTAGAAGTAATACACACAAACATCCTGAGACTCAGACTGAAAACCCCACAAAGGAGGGGGATGGGGTTGGGGTGGGTTTCTGCTCTATGGCAGCGATGTCAAACTCCAGTCCTCGAGGGCCGGTGTCCTGAAACTTTTAAATGTCTCTGCTGCAACACACCTGAAGAACATTAGTAGGTCATTAGCAAGACTCTATAGAACTTACATGTGTTGGGTATATGATGACATGTGCAAATCCTTTAAATGAGTTTTTCGAGACACTGACAAATGAAGTATTTATTGCTCAAAAACAGTCATATCTCTGACCTGCAGATAGTCTGTAATATTAGATAACATGGCCAAATGACACTGAGAATAACCCACTAAGTAAATGCTGAAATAAAGGTGGATGATCTTCACTAGACACTCAAACGGAAAAGTTTTGGATTTCAGTTTGAACCCCACCAACTTTATTCTTGACTCAAATAAGGAGAGTTCATTTGGAAGAACTGAATATGATTCATTGAGAGTACTTTCATTCACCTTAAAGTGAACAACAGTCTGAAAGGGAGTTTCTGCCATGTTTTACAGGCAGTCGTGCTTCTGAAGACTAGTTTTTGTTCGCTTTGTTGTGAATATTTACATAAAATCATCCAAGTGTCTGTATCCAGCACCGTCTGTGCAAAACTCCTTCGATGTCAGAGGTTCAAACATGAAAAACAAACAGTTTTCTCAGTCATTGTTGTTTTTTCTTTTAACTCCACAGTCAGTGAGTTCTGCAGCTGAATGACAGCATGGCAGCAGCACCTGGTGAGTCTTACTTTGTCACACTTACATGCAGTAACTGTGAGTTACCACCCTCTACAAGCACTTTCTGACAATAATTTCATTGTTTCTTGGTTTCTCCTGTTTGGAGAAATGTGAAAAAAATGAAGAAAAAGTGATTATTAGAGGATAAACGATGTGACTACAGGTGAATATTTTACAGCAGGTCTCATCTGAGTGTCTTTGCTGAACCAGGCTGCTGTGTTGCATGTAACATGCTTTAACAATGTGTTTAACCAATAACATTTGACAGAATGTGTTTTCTGAAAATTAACAGTCATGTTTAATAATCTTTCCCAGAACTAATGTGATCTGTTCATGCAGCTGTTGACATTAAAAGTGCTTTGTTCCATCTGATGTAGTCATTGCAGGATAACACGTCTCAGTGCACAATGCATGTTTTTCTTTATCTTTGCAGGACCACAAGACACTTTTCCCAGACGTCGCAGGAAGAGCTTTGGATTTGTGCCCCCCCACAGTGAGTTTTTAAAGAAAAGATTATGTTTAATGCAAACTTTAACTGGGCAATTTAAGGTGGAAGACATTAGACAGGAGCAGGTGAAGACAAAATATAGCAGGAAGTGTGAAGCCTGTTTGGAATAATGAAAAACCTCTTAGTGCACAGATCCTGCTTTCTCTCTTTACATTTAGAGCTCATATAATGTATAGAAAAGTGAAGAAAACTATTTTATGTAAACCTTTGGGGGTCATTTCTGGGAGAGGTTACAGCAAATCAAATGTGTCCTTAACTTCATGTTAACAGATCAAACATTCAGGACACCAGTGTTCATGTAGTTCTATGCCACAGACATGAAGTTGGTGCAATTTATTGAAACTGTGATGTATCCTGTGGTAATGATGCTCAAAAGAGATTATAGAAATAAAATTGTGCCAAGCAAGAAAAAAAAGGTCTTCAGATTCTGTGGATTTAAAACTGAGCTTTTAACAGAGGTTAATTTTATTTTTCAGCTCTCAAACTTTATGTAGTATTCTCACATGTGAATATATATTTATGGCTCAGTAATGATCCATAAATACTAGAAAAAAATAACACATATTTAAACAAAATGACAATTTTTGCACATTTTTCAATAATTACAACTCAGTGGTTACAAATGGAAAATCATTAAATTTAGATTAATTGAAACCTATGATATAATGTTGTTGCTGCTTGTATTAACTTTGAAAGATTCTTTGTTCAGTGTTTGTGTTTGCTGTCGTTTCAGTGTCTGAGCTCAGAGCTGTCCTGCTGGGGAACAGCTGGTCTGAGAGGAGCTCAGTGGGGAACGTTATACTGGGAGAGAAGTTCAACCCTGAGGAAGATCTGGACCGATGTGTGAGAGTCAGTGGACACAGTCAAGGGAAAGAAGTAGTTCTCATCAACACTCCAGATCTGCTTCATCCAAACACCTCAGTGGAGAAATTAAAGGAACATGTGAACAACTGTGTGAGGCTCTCTGATCCTGGACCTCATGTGTTCCTGCTGGTTCTACAGCCTGAAGACTTCAAAGAGCATCAAAAAACGAGACTCTGCAGAGTCCTGAACTTCTTCAGTGATCATTCCTTTGATCATTTACTGGTTCTGATATCACCACCCAGGCGTCCAGGTTTACGGCATCGTGTCATGTATCATACACCTATACAGGAAATGATCAGACTGTGTAATAACAGGTCATTGCAGCTTGAAAACCTCAACATTCGGGAGTTACTAGAAAACATGGAACGCATTGTAGAAATGAACAATGGAACACATGTGACCTGTCAGCACACCAGCGCTGAACAAAGAAAAGAAGCTCCTGTTACTCTGAATGATCCTCAGCCTGTTGGTAAGTAAAAAACCCCAAACTCTATCTGTAGATATTTTAACATAAAGACACTTTCTAAAGTGCTCAGAAGGAACGATCCACCAAAAACATGAAGCAGCATTTACTGAAGATGGAAAAAGTGAAGAAAGACCAAAAGGCTTTTAGGATCAGTCAGACTGTCTGAGAGTAATTTCCTGTTTGTATCTTTGCTCCTTTACAGGATGTAGACTCTGCATGTTGCTGTTTGGAGGAAACTCAGCAAAGAAGACAGCACTCTGTAACTTTATTGTGAAGACAAATTATGATTTTTCAGGATTTTCTCCAGACAGACAAGTTTTCCATGGAGAGTGGAGAGGAAAACCTTTAACAGTAGTGAAAACTCCTGACTTCTTAAATCCGTCTCTGAAAGCAGCGAGAGAAGAGATGAAGAGCTGTGTGAGTCTCTGTCCTCCTGGACCAAATGTTCTGCTGCTGATGGTGAAACCTTCTGATTTCACTGTGCACAGCAGAAAAACTCTCAGTTTGACCCTGAGTGTGTTTAATGGAGATGCCTTTAAACACTCAATGGTCATTATCACAGATGAGGAGGAGATGGGAGGTTCAGTTAATTCTCTACTTAGAGATTGTGAAGGTAGACACTACAACATGTTTGAAAATGATCATCGACAGTTAATGCAGAAGATTGTTCTCATGCACGATGTTCTCAAAGGAAAATTCCTCACAGTCACCGAAGAGACCATCAGACCAAAGTCTGAACACATAAAAGAACCACCTGAAAAGATCAGAAGAATAGAATCACAACTCATCAAACCATCTTTAAACCTGGTTCTGTGTGGGAGGAGAGGAGCAGGGAAGACGTCAGCAGCCAAGGCCATTTTAGGTCAGACTGAGCTTCATTCAGCCTCCAACTCATCAGAGTGTGTTAAACATCAGGGAGAGGTGTGTGGACGTTGGGTTTCCCTGGTGGAGCTGCCTGCCTTGTATGGAAAGCCTCAGAAGGAAGTGATGGAGGAATCACTCAGGTGTATCTCCCTCTGTGATCCTGAGGCTGTCCATGCCTTCATCCTGGTCCTACCTGTGGCTCCCCTCACTGATGAAGACAAGGGAGAGTTAGAGACCATCCAGGACACATTCAGCTCTCGAGTCAATGACTTCACCATGATTCTGTTCACCGTGGACTCAGATCCTACAGATACAGCTGTTGTTAACTTTGTAAGACAAGACAAAGACATTCAGAAGCTCTGTCAGACTTATCGAGGACGATATGTTGTTCTCAACATCAAAGAAAAGCAAACCATCATGAACCTTCTGCATGAAGTGGAAAATATGAAAGCTGAAGGATCCAAATGCTTCACTAAGGACATGTTCACCAAAGCTCAAATGGAGAAGGTAACAAGACTTAAAGCTGAACTGCAGGAAGTTAAACGCAGGAGTGTGGCTTCATCTGATGATGCACATCAAACTGAACAGTCCATCAGGATGGTGCTGCTTGGAAAAACTGGCAATGGGAAAAGTGCAACTGCAAACACCATTTTGGGCAAAAAGGTGTTTTTATCTAAAATCAGTCAGATTTCTGTGACCAGAGAATGTCAGAAAGCAGCAGGAGAGATTGATGGATGTCCTGTTGTTGTGGTCGACACCCCCGGCTTGTTTGACACAAAACTGTCCAGTTATGAAGTTCGACAAGAGCTTCTGAACTGTATCAGCATGTTGTCTCCTGGACCTCACGTGTTCTTACTGGTGCTACAGATCGGTCGATTTACAGAGGAGGAGAAAGAAACTGTGAAAAAGATCAAAGAGATTTTTGGAAAGAAGTCAGGAAACTTCATCATTGTTACCTTCACCAGAGGAGATGAGCTTGAAGACACATCCATTGAAAGTTACATAGAAGAAGACTGTTCTGATTTTGTAAAAACTCTGATTGATGACTGTGGAGGCAGATACCACGTCTTCAACAACAAAGATCCAAAAAACCGTAGACAAGTGACAGACCTGCTGATGAAAATTGAAGCCATGTTGAAAGACAATGGTGGCAGATACTACACCACTGAGATGTTCCAAGAGGCTGAGGCAGCGATACAGAAGAAAGTGGAGAGGATACTGAAAGAGAAGGATGAAGACATGATGAGAGAGAGGGAGGAGCTTAAAAGGAAACATGAAGAAGAAATGCAAAAAGTAAAAAGAGAAATGGAAGAAAAGATCTCTAAATTTGAATCTGAGAAAGAGCAGAGTATGAAACAACTCAAACAGATGGAGGAACGCATTAACCAGGAGCGAGAAGCGAGAGAGAGAGAACAGAAAATCAGAGAAGATGAGGAGAGAAAGAAGAAAGAAGAGGAAGAAACTCAACGAGAACAATGGAAACAAAAACTGGAAACTTTGGAGAAGCAAATAGAATCTGAATCAAAGGAAGAGCTCATCAGAGAGCTGGAGCAAAACAGAGAAGAAATGAGACGAGAGAGAGAGGCCTGGGAGATGGAAAGGAAAGACTGGTGGGACAATAGGGATCAAGAAAGTAAACCGAGACAAGAAGCAGAAGAAGTGAAAATTAAAAAGCTGACAGAAAAATATGAAAAGGAAAAAGAAGATTATCACAGAAGAATAAAAGATTACAGTGTCAGAATAGAACAGGAGGAAAGAAAAAGAAAAGAATTAGAGAAAGACCACAAGAAAAAAATGAAACAAATGAAGCAGAAACATGAAGACGAGGCCAGAAATCAAGCTGAAGACATCAATGACTTCAAAGAGAAATACACCAGGGACTTTGAATCTCTGATAGAGAAATACAATGATGAGATAAGGAATCTGAAGCAGGAGCATGAGAAACAGAAACATAATTATGCTGATTTGCACAAGGTCTCCAGTGACAGAGAAGAAAGACTGAAGAAAGAATCGGAGGAAATGCAGAAAAAGCATGAAGAAGAAATTAAGAAATATAAACAAAAGCATAAATGCATCATAGCCTGATGACTTTAAACAGTGCAGCAGTAAAACAGAGAAGAACACATGAGTTTCATACCAGTGTTTGAAAGTGAACATAAATTAAAATGGGCGAGTGATAGAGAGAGCACCACTTTTGTTTTTTCAATTAACAAGGGAGCAAAACGGAAAATTGCTGCAATGAAGAAGAAGACTGCTGAAACCTGTCATTTTTAGACTCTGGAAAGGCAGCAGTGTCAGCAAGACACCAACATCTGTGTTTATTATTAGAGCCATATTTTTACACTATGAGTGTTTTTGTGCCCAGCAGGTTGTGCTCTCATAAAAGGACATTAATTTTCTATCTTCTCCTTTTGAAAGTAAAAGTAATTCAAAGTAATTCACCAAATTATTGTCTGTTAATGATTTCCACTGCAAACCTGGAAATACTGAACAGTTTACAGATGATGTATCTGAAATATTAATTTTATGATTTTGTATTATATGAGCCACAAATATTTTATGGAAGGATTAAAAACATAATTGATAACTTCTGATGTGTTCTTTGCAAGTCGTATTCATTTAAATGGGAAGAAAAATAGCTGTGAAAAATGTATTTTAAATTTACTTTGTAAAGAATAAGATAACAAACTTAGATATAAAACTGGTGAATGTCAAAATACATGCACATAATAATTACTGATATTGAGGGTTAAAAAAATTATATGATGTTATTACATTATTTTCTATGTTCGTCCTGGTCTGTTTAAAATAAAACAATGCATTTGAGCGCTCTATGTTTCTATATAGTTTGATACAATTATTTCAGTACGTGGGAAATGTTTTTATTGACTTTTACTCTGACTTTATTGTTGGACACTATACGCCTGCAGGCCATAGTTTCCATATGGAAAATCAGAGTGAATGGAAAAAGTTTGTTGGTCATTATGTAATCAGAATGTTTGTAAAAATAAAATGTCCTCCTATTAATGCATTGTGTGTGGTCTGATTACTGGAAAGTCGGGAACATATATGGATATGTGGCACACTTTCTTTATAAATAATCTAAAAGGGCTAAAATGTTGTTCTTCAGTTTTGTAGGATCAAGTTACGGAAGCATAGAGCTGCCACCCAAGCAAAAGAGAAATAGAGGTATATCACATTATACCATGAAGACTTTACTGTTCTAACAATAGACTTTTCATGTTTGTACATTATAATGGCAGTGGATGCTTGTAAGCAGGAATGCCAACAGAGAGGAAATTATACCTGTGATGAAACAGTTTTCAGCTTGTGTTGCCTTATAGTGTCAGAGAACGTCTGACTTCCACTAAGCACATCAGATGAATCCATTGAACTGTATCTCTTCCTGAGAGCCTACATACTGAAGATCGTGGCAAATGAATGTCTAAATATATGTAACCAAATCTATGTTCTCCAGTGAAGAATCAAAATTAAACCAGGTCCTTGCCATTTCCCACAGCCCCACCTGGGACTACTCTTCCTGTGATGCTACTTTTTCATTCTAAGTGGAGATTTTTAGTTGCAATGACACTACTACAATCCCGTTTTTGAAAACAACACATGCTATTTGTATCCTTTATTTTTAAACAAATAAGGGATCAGTTATGAGTTTTATAATGAAATTGAACCCATTCTGGTTGATTTTGGGATGTCACCTTTTCAATTATATCTTTTTACTACAAATAGCTTTATAAAAGTAGTATTGCTGTACTTTAAAAAACCCCAACAACTTTAATTTAAATTTTCATTGCGACAAGAATATAACAAAAACAACAAAAAGAAACAAAAAAACCCAACAAGAACAAAAGAGGAACAAATTGGGGCACTGTTCCAGGCATCATACAAGATATATTAGCTGAATTAAGTCACAGAATCTTCAAGCCTTTGCTTGTATTTATGCCATTTAGTCCAACGTTGTAGAAAAAGGTGACCTTTTAATCGTAGGAAGAAAGTCCACTCGGACAGGATCCTTCTCAAGCCTTCTTAAGCCTTCTTAAGCTTCTTAAGCTGCCTTTATGACAGCTGGGATAGGCTCCAGCACTGCCCGCGACCCTGAAAAGGATAAGCGGAAGCGAATGGATATAGTGTGTTGTTGCCATTTTGTTTTTGTGGCCCTTCGTAGAGTTTAGACATGGCTTTAGTGGGCAGACATTTGTAGGCATTTGTAAAAACTTTGACAAGATCAATTACTGGGGAGGAGGCACCCTTTATTTCTAAATTGCAAAAATGACGTACCTGCAGATATCTGAACAGGTCCGCATTTTCCTGATTAAATTCTGTTTTCAATTTTTTAAAATGATTTAAAAGTGCCCCCTTCCACAAACAGACACAGGTTGGATTGGAAAAGGTTTAACTGCTCTGAGTATGTTGGATCTAACCTTCCAGGTGGGAACAAAATTTTAATATTGCTCCCCAGATTGTATTTGTTAACAACTTCATGCCAAATTAAGAGTGTTTTTCACAATATGGTTATTTAAGTTGCCTCTCCTTGATTCTTCTACCAATCATGTTTGGGGAGGAGACTTGCCCATGCTCAACTCAATTTGTTTCCATTGAGCCTCCACTGCCGGGGAACACCAACAAACAATATTTCTCAGATGTGCTGCCAAGTAATATTCCTTTAAGTTAGGGAGGGCCAGTCCGCCATGTTCTTTATCGATTTGAAGGGTTTATAATTTTATCCTTGGTCTAACTCCTGCCCATATAAAGCGTGATATTAACTTGTCCCAAGCATTGAATTGGAAATCTGGGATTTTAATGGGTAGAGCCATAAAAAGATATGAGAATCTGGGCAACAGATTTATCTTCACAATCTGTATTCTTGTACTAAAGTCCAGAGTTAGTGAAGACCAGCGAGTTATGTGCTCCTGAATTGAGTTGGATTATCAAAGTTCAAAGTGAACAGACTATTAAAATCCTGTGAAATGTAAAGTCCAAGATACTTAATCTTGTTTGCATCCCATTTTAGCTTATAATTTTGTTTTATTGAATTGCATGAAGAGTAGTTAATTGTCAGGACTTGTGTTTTAGTTATATTTAAATTATAACCAGACAGGGCCCCAAACTCTTTCAGAGTTGACATGAGCTCAGGGAGTAACATATCAGGATTCTGGAGGTATGTAATGATATCGTCAGCAAAAAGAGTAACTACCTCTGGGTTCTGTCTTATTGCCTGGGCTAAAGGCTCTATAAACAAAGCGAAGAGCTGAGCCCGCAGCCTTGCCGGGTGCCTCTATTCAATTAAAAACTAGAGGAAAGATGTCCATCGATCTTTAACCTGGCCACTGGATTACTGTATAATAATTGTATACATTTAATTAACTTATTGTTGAATCCTATACGCTCTAGTACCTTATAAAGAAAGGGCCAGCTGACCCAGTCAAAGGCTTTTTCTGTGTCTAGGCTTATTAATGCCATACTCAGTTTGTGATTCTTTGCTTCTTCTATAATATGAAGCGTTCTTCTAATACTGTCATGTGTTTGGTGGCCTTTTATGAAGCTTGTCTGATCTTAATGTATTAAATCCAGCAAATGGACTTCTAGTCTTTTAGAGATTCTTAAGGTACATAATTTATAGTCTACATTCAAAATAGAAATGGGGCGGTAAGATTCATAGTAATTTTACCCTCTTTAGGTAGATCAGATATTACCGCCTCGCGCCAGGATGGAAGTACTCTAATTTTGTTGGCCAAGCTTTAATCTTTACCGTTTTGTTATAGTTTGATTTCTAAGTTTTTCCGTTCTTTTTCGAGATCATAATTTTTGTCTCTTACAACTTGTTGTATCCAGGGAGAAATTCAGAATAGTATTCCAGTCTTCACCAAAGATTAAAATACATTCGCTCGCTATAATTAAAGCATCAAAAAATGACTTAAAGAATTTTCTATCCCATTCTGGAGGAAGATACACATTAGCAAGTGTGATCACAAAAAAAAAAAACCATTTGTAAAACATGTTTGGAATCATGTATGATTTTCATTCCACTTCTCACCTGTGCACCACTTTGTGTTGGTCTTTCACGTCAATAAAATTGATTCATGTTTGTGGCTGTAATGTGACAAAATGTGGGAAAGTTCAAGGGGGCCGAATACTTTTGCAAACCACTGTACATGTTTGCTTCCATTGTTAATACCAGTCTTCAGTCTGGGTCTGTTCCCTCTGACTTTAAACATGCCGTGGTTGAACCAATCCTTAAAAAACAGAATCTGGGCCCAACAGTTCTATCAAACTACCGTCCAATCTCTAAATTGTTCTTTTTGTCAAAGGTTCTGTAGAAAATTGTCCTTTTGCAGCTCTAAACCTTTTTAGATCAACATGACATTGGTGAACTATTGCAGTCTGGTTTTAAATGCACCACAGCACTGAAACCACTTTTTTAAAAGTTTTTAATGACCTTTTAACTTTTACAGACTATAGATTTATAGATTCTGCTATTTTAATATTATTAGACCTCAGTGCTGCTTTTGACATGGTAGATCACAGGATTCTTATCTCTCGACTGGAACAATATGCTGAAATTAAAGGGCTTGCTTTGGAATGATTTAAATCCTACTTATCTAATCGTACTTTCTCTGTTAGATTCAGAGACACATTGTCTCCAAGGACCACGCTTTTTTGCCAAGGGCCAAGTCTCTACCCTTGGCCCAGTCCTCTTTTGAATTTACACGCTCCCGTTGGGATCACTTGTTTTAAAAAAAGGTAATTTGTTTCATTGCTATGCAGATGATTCTCATATTCCACTGAAATGGAAATCGGTGAATCCTGGGAAGGGACTGTTTGATTGTCTAGAAGATGTCAAGGCATGGAGGGCTCTAAATGAACAGAAAACTGAGGTCATTGTCTTGGGTCCTTCTGACTGTTATGACCTTGACACCTTAGGATACTATAAAAAACTGTTTGCAAGAAATTTATGGTCAATGTAGATTTCAATGTACATTTAGTTAATGTATTCAAAACCAGCTTCTTTCATATTTGCATAA